ATAACAACAACATGTCTCTGATAAATTTACGGTTCCAATAAATCATTTTTCCATTTGTTCTCTTGTATATTCTTGGTAGGTAACCAATTATCTTCAACTATTGATGAATTTCCCCATCTACACATACTTGAAATATATTTAAATTTTCTGGTGCAGTGCATATTTTTACGTTGCTGATTTTTCATCTCATTAAAGGGAGCTCTGGTAGCATAGTGGCTAAGGTACTTGACTGCTAACCAGAAGGCTGGCGGTTCAAACCCACCAGCCACTCCTCAGAAGGAAGGTTGGGCAATCCTACTTCCATAGTGATACTGCCTTGGAAACCCAAGGAGGGGTCGCTATGAGTTGGGTGCAACTCGAGGGCACATAATAACAACAACAACAACAACATTTTTTATCAGGTGATATGGTCTACATAATGATGATTGTTACATATTGGTGTTTTTTTATAATATAATGTATAGGAGTTTTTAGAAATATTCTATTTACATTTAAAAATAATACTCAGTTTTTTGGAGACTTCCACTATGATTTTGAATTTGTGAATTTCTATTGGTAGTTTTATCAGTGGCTGTTACATATACACCTTGAAACTATCTTGTTAGATACGTAAAATGTCTTGGCTGTTATATTGGTGACATTGTCATATGATAAATATAAATATTTATAAAACTAAAATCTGTTTTTATCAAGGAATCTCTGAGTGGTATACATGGCTAAGCACTTGACTACCAGCCAAAAGTTTGGTTGATCGAATCTACCCAGAGGTGCCTGACAAGATAGGCCTGGTGATCTACTTCCAAGAAATCAGCCATTGAAACTCTATGGAACTGTTGTTCTACTGTGCACACATGGGGTTTCCATGAGTCAGAATCAACTCGATGGCAACAAACAACATGTTTTTTATCAAAACAATACATATACATAGTTTAAAAAGTTAAATAGTATGTTGTTTTGTTGTTATATGCCATCGAGTCGGACCCGACTCATAGTGACCCCTCCTTGGGTTTCCAAGGCAGTATCACTACGGAAGTGGATTGCCCCATCTTCCTTCCGAATGAGTGGCTGGTGGGTTTGAACCTTAGGCACTATGCTACCAGAGCTCCCTAAAATGAAAAACAGCGATTTCCTGTCCCACACCACTAAGTCATAGTCCAAGGAATCAATTTATTTTGACTTCTGTAGTTGATTTGTTTCTTGTTACATTTTAAAGTAGCATCATTAATTACAATTTAAAATTTCTCAGTTCATCTATTGATTTCCTATGGAAAATAAAGATTTAGCTGTCCTAACATATGCCTCACAGCATCTGTCCTCCCCTCATACACTTAGACTCTCCTGACTTCTCAATCAAGATATCCCAATTAAAGGAATATTTAGTGGTTACCTTAGTGTCTATGTAAGTAGCATTCATAACTGAGACAGAGAGTATATTTTAAGTATTTTCATCTGTCTAATTTTTAATTTTTCCTCA